GAGAGTGAGTTGAGTCGGTAGGAGAGTGAGCTGAGTCAGTAGGAGAGTGAGCTGAGTCAGTAGGAGAGTAGGTTGAGTCAGTAGGAGAGTGAGCTGAGTCAGTAGGAGAGTAGGTTGAGCCAATAGTAGAGTGAGTTGAGTCGGTAGGAGAGTGAGGTGAGTCAGTGGGAGAGTGAGCTGAGTCAGTGGGAGATTGAGGTGAGTCAGTAGGAGGGTAGGTTGAGTCAGTAGGAGAGTGAGCTGAGTCAGTAGGAGAGTAGGTTCAGTCAATTTGTTAGTGAGTTGAGTCAGTAGGAGAGTGAGCTGAGTCAATATGTTAGTGAGTTGAGTCAATAGGAGAGTAAGTTGAATCAGTAGGAGAGGAGGTTGAGTCAGTAGGGGGGTGAGTTGAGTCGGTAGGAGAGTGAGTTGAGTCAGTAGGAGAGTAGATTGAGTTAGTAGGAGGGTCAGTTGAATCAGTAGGAGAGTAGGTTGAGTCAGTAGGAGGATGAGTTGAGTCAGTAGGAGAGTGAGCTGAGTCAATATGTTAGTGAGTTGAGTCAGTAGGTGAGTGAGTTGAATCAGTAGGAGAGTGAGCTGAGTCAGTAGGATGGTGAGTTGAGTCAGTAGGAAAGTAGATTGAGTCAGTAGGAGAGTGAGTTGTGTCAGTAGGAGGGTGAGCCGAGTCAATATGTTAGTGAGTTGAGTCAGTAGGAGAGTGAGCTGAGTCAATATGTTAGTGAGTTTAGTCAGTAGGAGAGTAAGTTGAATCAGTAGGAGAGTAGGTTGAGTCAGTAAGAGGGTGAATTGAGTCAGTAGGAGAGTGAGCTGAGTCAATATGTTAGTGAGTTGAGTCAGTAGGAGAGTAAGTTGAATCAGTAGGAGAATAGGTTGAGTCAGTAAGAGGGTGAATTGAGTCAGTAGGAGAGTGAGCTGAGTCAATATGTTAGTGAGTTGAGTCAGTAGGAGAGTGAGCTGAGTCAATATGTTAGTGAGTTGAGTCAGTAGGAGAGTAAGTTGAATAAATAGGAGAGTAGGTTGAGTCAGTAGGAGGGTGAGTTGAGTCAGTAGGAGAGTTAGCTGAGTCAGAGGGTGAGTTGAGTTAGTAGGAGAGTAGATTGAGTCAGTAGGAGAGTGAGCTGAGTCAGAGGGTGAGTTGAGTTAGTAGGAGAGTAGATTGAGTCAGTAGGAGAGTGAGCTGAGTCAGTAGGAGAGTAAGTTGAGTCAACAGGAGAGTGAGCTGAGTCAATATGTTAGTGAGTTGAGTCAGTAGGAGAGTAGATTGAGTCAGTAGGAAAGTGAGCTGAGTCAGTAGGAGAGTAGGTAGAGTCAGTAGGAGAGTGAGTTGAGTCAGTAGGAGAGTGAGCTGAGTCAGTAGGAGAGTAGGTTGAGTCAGTAGGAGAGTGAGTTGAGTCAGTAGGAGAGTGAGTTGAGTCAGTAGGAGAGTGAGTTGAGTCAGTAGGAGAGTAAGCTGAGTCAGTAGGAGAGTGAGCTGTGTTAGTAGGAGAGTGAGCTGAGTCAATATGTTAGTGAGTTGAGTCAGTAGGAGAGTGAGTTGAATCAGTAGGAGAGTAGGTTGAGTCAGTAGGAGAGTGAGCTGAGTCAGTAGGAGGGTGAGTTTAGTTAGTAAGCTGAGTCAGTAGGAGAGAGAGCTAAATCAATATGATTGAGTCAGTAGGAGTGAATTGTGTCAGTAAGAGTGAATTGAGTTAGTAGGAGAGTGAGTTGAGTAAGTAGGAGGGTAAGGTGAGTCAGTAGGGAGTGAGTTGAGTCAGTAGGAGTGAATTGAGTCAGTAGCAGTGAAATGAGTCAATAGGAGTGAATTGAGTCAGTAAGAGTGAATTGAGTTAGTAGGAGAGTGAGTTGAGTCAGTAGGGGAGTGAACTGAGTGTGCGAGTGATTCGATAAGTAAGTGTCATTGAGTCATTGAGTGCATGGGGTCACTAAATGAGGGAGTTGAGTCAGTAGCTGAGTCAGTAGGAGAGTGAGTTGAGTCAGTAGGGAGTGAGTTGAGTCAGTAGGGAGTGAGTTGAGTCAGTAGGAGAGAGAGCTAAATCAATATGATTGAGTCAGTAGGAGAGAGAGCTAAATCAATATGATTGAGTCAGTAGGAGAGTAGGTTGAGTCAGTAGGAGAGTGAGTGAGTCAGTAGGAGAGTGAGTGAGTCAGTAGGAGAGTGAGTTGAGTCAGTAGGGAGTGAGTTGAGTCAGTAGGGAGTGAGTTGAGTCAGTAGGAGTGAATTGAGTCAGTAAGAGTGAATTGAGTTAGTAGGAGAGTGAGTTGAGTAAGTAGGAGGGTAAGGTGAGTCAGTAGGAGAGAGAGCTAAATCAATATGATTGAGTCAGTAGGAGTGAATTGTGTCAGTAAGAGTGAATTGAGTTAGTAGGAGAGTGAGTTGAGTCAGTAGGAGGGTGAGTTTAGTTAGTAAGCTGAGTCAGTAGGAGAGTAAGCTGAGTCAGTAGGAGAGTGAGTTGAGTCAGTAGGAGAGTGAGCTGAGTCAGTAGGAGAGTAGGTTGAGTCCGTAGGAGAGTGAGTCGAGTCAGTAGGAGAGTAGGTTGAGTCAGTAGGAGAGTGAGTTGAGTCAGTAGGAGAGTGAGTTGAGTCCGTAGGAGAGTGAGGTGAGTCAGTAGGAGAGTGAGTTGAGTCAGTAGGAGAGTAAGCTGAGTCAGTAGGAGAGTGAGCTGTGTTAGTAGAAGAGTGAGCTGAGTCAATATGTTAGTGAGTTGAGTCAGTAGGAGAGTGAGTTGAATCAGTAGGAGAGTAGGTTGAGTCAGTAGGAGAGTGAGCTGAGTCAGTAGGAGGGTGAGTTTAGTTAGTAAGCTGAGTCAGTAGGAGAGAGAGCTAAATCAATATGATTGAGTCAGTAGGAGTGAATTGTGTCAGTAAGAGTGAATTGAGTTAGTAGGAGAGTGAGTTGAGTAAGTAGGAGGGTAAGGTGAGTCAGTAAGTTGAATCCATAAGCTAGTGAGATGAGCCAGTAAATGGGTGAGGTAAATGAGTAAGTGGATAGGTTCAGTCAGTAAGTGAGGGAGTTAAGTCATTAAGAGTGAATAAGAGAGTGACGTGAGCCAGTAAGCGTGCTGAGTCAGCAAGCGAGTGAGTGAACGAGGGACTGAGTGGGAGAGAGCAGATGACTAAAGATTGAAGGCCTTCAAATGATCGTGGAAGAGGATGTATGAGTAAGTCTGTGAGTGAATGAGCAAGGGAGGGGGGTTGAGTCGCGAGTTTGTAGGGAGAACAGGAGTGAAGGATTCAGGAAGCGAGAATGGCAGCGAGGGAGTAAATAAATGGATAAATGTAAGCAATCGAAGTAGTGTGTGAATGAATGAGTAAGCAAGTGAGAGAACGTGGCTTTTGAAACTAGCGATTTACCTTTCGAAGAGACATTGCCATATATAAGCAGGTTAAGGACAGAGCACCAACCTAATGAGATAAAAAACGTCTTTACAGCGAACACTTATCGTCGTTTGCCCTTAATTTTGCTAATGTATCTTGAGCTGAAAGGCGATACTCATGTGTGCGAGTCTAAAGTGGTCTCTCCCTCGCAGAAAGATCGCGACGGCCGCCCTCCTGCAGCCCTTCGGCGGTGTCAGACTGTACAAGGACGGGAGGATCATGTGGGCGCAGATGTAGGTGTGGGCTGGTATGGGGTGTCGAAGATGGAGTAAAGTATGGGTGAAGAGGAGAGGATGGGGGAGGGAAAGAATAGGTGGGGATGAGAGGAAATGAGAAAGAGGAAGAAAAAAGGAGGATGGAGGAGGAATATGAAGAACAGGAAGAGAAGTGGGGGAGGAATAAGAGGGGGAGGAGGAGGAGGAGCAAAAAAAAAAAAAAAAAAAAAAAAAAAGGAAAGAGGAAATGAGAAGTGGAAGAAGTAAATGAAATAGAGAGGAGGGCAAGAGAAGACTAGGATGATTGTTGACTATTTGCTTCTCCCTCCCTCCCTCTCTCTCTCTCTCTCTCTCTCTCTCTCTCTCTCTCTCTCTCTCTCTCTCTCTCTCTCTCTCTCTCTCTCTCTGTCTCTGCCTCTCCCTCTTTCTCTCTGCCCCTCTTTCTTCCCCCCCCTCTCTTTCTTCCCCCCTCTCTCTTTCTCTCTCTCCCCTCTCCTTGCCTCTCTCTCTTTCATCGCTCTCTCTCTCTCAAGGTTCATCATCACCCTGCGCTGCGCAATGTTCTACCATGACTTTCCCTTCGACGAGCAGATCTGCAACCTCAAAATGACCAGTTGTGAGTCAAGCATTCATTGTGTTTCAAGTGCTAATTACGGATTTATCTTAAATATTTTATTCCAGTGCATGTCTCCATATCAGTATCATATTCATATCATTATCATGCCTTCTCCCTCTCTCTCCCTCTTTTTCTTACGTTCTCCCTCCTCTTCTTTCCCACTTACCCCCTGCACTCTCACTTTCTACTTTCGCTTTTTTCTCTCTCTTGCTCTCGCACTCTCCTTTTCCCCTTTTTTCCTCTCCTCTTTACTCTCTTTCTTTACTGTCTCACCTCTCCCTTTTCTCCTTCTCCCTTTTCACCCCCTCTCTACACTTTCTCTCTTCCCTACTCTCCCTAACTCCCCTTCTTGTGTTTCTCCTTCTCTACTGTTTTCCTTTCCTTCTTTCCGTCTATCACTGCCCTTTTCTTTCATCGCTTTCTTCCTCCTTCCCTCTAACTCCCCTTCTTGTGTGTCTCCTTCTCTACTGTTTTCCTTTCCTTCTTTCCGTCTATCACTGCCCTTTTCTTTCATCGCTTTCTTCCCCCTTTTTCTTCTTTCTCTTCTTCCTCTTCCGCCTTCTCCTTCTCCTCTCCCCTTTTTCTCTCTTTCCTCTTCTCCCTCTCCCGCTTCCTCCTTCTCTCCCCCTTTTCGTCCCTCACAATCTTTTTCCTTTTTCTTCATTCTCCTCTTCCCTTTTCTCCCCTCATTTTACTCTCTCTTCTCCCTCCCCCCTTTCCTCCTCCTTCTTCCCCTCCCTCTTCTCTCTCTTCTCCCTCTCCCTCCTTCGCCAGACTTCTACGGCAGCGAGGAT